TTTAGGGGTCGTGTAAGCCATGTCAAGCACGTGCTGTAGGGTTTTATTCATTACACTCCAACCCCTCTCTACCCGGCCCGGGGATTGAACCCTGGACCTCCCGGTTCTGAAGTGAACAGCATACCACTGCACCACAGGATCGGTCGTAAGAAATTTCTTGAGAGATGATACCCCCGACACAATTATGTTACCGCATGATTGGATCCATGCTGGATCGTAGGCGCTGTGTGTGAAAATTTATTTCTCGAGGACATGCTAAGGGGTGAATCAAACTTGTACTGAAGCGAGGCAGTTTTGCTTTTAGTGATTGTTCCAGATTCATCAATCAAAACTTCTATCGAGAGCCTCATCCGGAAAGTCAAAGTTGAAAACATCACCATCCATACTGCTGTCACCGTTCGTCTTGTAGCATTCCTGCTTAAAAATCAGCATCAATGACCGAACCAACAATAACGTCTCCAAAGGTCTTTACCCATGCATTGCAGACCCATGAACACACCGACTTCATTGGCGGTGGCCTGGGATAACCATACTCGGTATATGTCACCTGCTTCCACACATTGAATTCAGTGTACAAGATCTTCTTGAAGTATCGATAAATGCCGATATCACAAGGCTGAATACACGCAATAAGTTCACCAAGAATTATACACATCGTAATGCCGTCTGGCCAGCAATATGTAGGACTGACTGAGCAATTTGACGCTGTCTTTCGGGCTGGCCATCAAAGATCTTGAGCAGTAGTTTGTACTTGCGCTCAAACCGACGGGGCCACATTACGCGGTGCGGGTCAAGCAAAGCAATGCTTTAGTAAAAAAAAGCCCTGGGAATTCGAACAACGGTGCAAACATACAACCGCGCGCTTTTTCACAGCGGCAAATGAATTCTTAAACTCTTCGCTTTCAAAAGAGTTCAGAAACGAATGCATGTTGAGTCTGACCCGTACGCTGTATGTATCGTCTCATCATTTGGCGAATTCACCATCTTCATATCCGGCAAATCATAGTCAGGGTGACGCGAAAGCGCATTACTACAACCACCACACTTTTTCGACTCGGTATGCTCGGCAAAGTAGAATGACCATCTTGCAATGTTCATGTGAGTGATGTTATGATTTGTGTGCAACAAAATGATTCGTGTAAGTCAAAATTAGCTCAGAGCTAAGCAGCTGCATCTTAAACGTGACAGCGCTTGTAGAACTGAAGGAGTTGTCCTTTGGGGATGCAAATATTCGCAAGTCGGTGTAGTAACCAAAAATGACTTGGCTGGTATCGGAGAAGGAGTTGAGCTTGTGATCCGTCGAAAGTTACTCTGTCCTTGAGATCACTGGGTACGCGAAATGGGTCAGCTTCCTCAAGGCTCGTTTAAATTTATTTTTGTATTGTTGGCGGCATTCCTCGACGTGGTGAAAAGAAAAATCCCACCGCGCGTGTTGGGGTGCGCTATGTATCTGACCTGATTCCGGAAACCAAATATTGTGTCGCAAGCAGCACCAATATCAGGAAGTGGTTCGACGTCATTGACACTTTCATCCGTGCGAAGAAGAAGAGGTTTTCGTGAGAGAAAGTAATTTTCCACACCCAAAACTGACTTTCTGAGTCAGAAAAATATGGCGGGTGGTTATTGTGTATGCTTTGAATAAGCTAAAGGCAGACACGATTAAGGCGCAAAAATGGGTTTTCAATCTACTGCATAATCGCATAAGACCTTGCGCTTTATACAGTCCCCTTTACAGGTTGTTGAAAACCATCAACTGTTGATGATAAAAAGCGATCATCCTTTTTTTGCATTGAGTACTTCGAGTCGTATGCTTTGGAAGAGGCTGCTTACACCACAGGGTCCGTCTGATGCAACTGCGATGTTTAACCGTTTGGTGACGCAGTTGAATGTCGACAATTTATTCGTCCATAGTGGCGCAGAGCTCGGGAAATTTGATATTGTAAATTTATTGAAACAATTGCGAGTGGTGTGAGAGTATCTTCGCTTTAATACACTACTTGCCAATATAGGCAAGTGAGTCTTCGGCATCGCCTTACTGGACTTGTTTCCTTGGGAAGCATGGCCTTCAGACAGGTCGTGCAAGTTAAAGGTCATTGTTGATTAGCCAGTTTTACTGCTCTAATGGGGCTAAGGAAGTTGGTTGGCCGGCTATTGGCAAAAATCTCGCTCAAAACATACCACATGACACGGCACCTTATTGATCTTTATGGTTAAAATGTAAAATGTTGTTGGGGTACGAAGAAAGAAGTGACCGTCAGGGATGTGAAGAATGCAATATGCATGCCCTGATTTCGAATTTGAATCGGCTATACAACATCGTCTCATAAGTATCAGCTTGGTGTAGACAGTGTATTACTAAATGCAGATGCCGATTGTCATGAATGCGTGCGTCTGGGTCTCGCCAGCGCAAGTTTGAAAGTAAAAACTACGCTGCTCAACTACAAGGGTTATTAGCAAAGTAGTATACTCTTGAGGCCGTCGGCGGGGTAACAACACCTAGGACGACCACGGTCACTTCATCGACAAATAAAACATAATTTCCACCATTTACCCGTAAGGATAACCTCTCCGTATGCAAATCCCGTCGCGCGGTAGTGCTGAACCCGCAAGACCGATTCACAGTCATTCTTCTAATTTTATAGACCCTGACCCGTATGTGAACAGCTTTACCCACGCTGGCACAAAAAATTTCGGCTCCCTATCGCTCTCAATTTTCACCGACCTGTTACAGGAGAGTCAGCACACGGCATTTCCTAAACGCCACACCAGAGATATACCTTGTGGGCCAAGACACTGGGGCTCACACTGCTTTTGCCTTCAAGACTCTGTTCGAGGAATCTAGCATTATAGTAGCTATTGATCTTGGACAGTCTCAGTTCCTACATGGAAGCTGTCGAAACTTTGGACCCACGCCAAAACTGCCTCATGTGAGATTATGAATTTTTAGAGCTCTTATTAGGTAACACCTAGATTATTCGACATCCAGTTATTCCATGGCTTGAGGTGTTCCATTCACGCCATTTCTAGAATGACTAACATTTCAGATCTAGATGCGGAAGAAAACGGTGTTCCATGTTGTCACTGTCATCGAGCTACATTAAAGCTAAAGCACAGCCCTCGAAAGTATTACCTATACCCCCGTAGCAAGACGCACGACATTGTGTCCGTTTGGCACCTTCGACGCCGCTGCGTATTGTCTTTATTCTTTGGCTGTCGCTTGTCGTACCTAGCGCGGTGTATTGGTGTCTATCGCGTTAATTCAAAGCCCGACATTTGACAATCAGCAGCCACCAACGGTGGGCTTTAAGTCCTACAACTCTTAGAGAGAGATGCACCGAAAAAATGATCCCATTGAACACGAGATACAACACCTTTATATTTCAGTGGACCATCCAGCGCCTACACAGATCATGCGTCATTACGCACTGCGATTCAGTCGCCTTACCTCTCGCAGAGGATGGCCAGGTGGCTCTCCTTCTACGAAAAATATAGCTTCGAGGTAAGGCATAAGCCAGGAAAGCAGAATGCTTTGGCTGATGCGCTGTCACGCAGACCAGATTATAAGCTTACTCATGTCACAACGGTGACGTCGTCAGTGATGGATTTGATCCGCGCCGCGTACGCGGGTGATGATATGTGCGTTGCTCTGCTACATGCTATCGGAGGCAGGAAGTTTAGAAACTCGGACAAGAAGTTATCGTCGCGACTGTGCGCTCAGCTGTACCGATATTCATTGAATTTTGAATTTCTGTATTACAGCACCGCCTCGATGGATATGTTATGAATTGTGGATCCTAACGATGGAGAAATAAAGTATTGTATCCTCTATGAGGCCCACGACACCCTACAAAGCGGTCTTCTCGGTCCTGGGAAGGCGTACGGCTCTGTGAGTTGCCACTACTGGTGGCATAAAGCTGTACCAATGGACGAGCACATATGTGCGCACGTGTGAGACATTAAAGAGGGTGAAACGCTCTCCGAATGCGGCTATACCGCTGGCCATTTTACCGGTCCTCATCAGGTGTTGGCAGTCCATGGGTAAGGACTTTGTGTTAGGCCTGCCGAAGGTTTCGGCGAGCAACACGGGTCTTGTGATCTTTGTG